CTACCGTTTGTGCCCGCTATAGGTCTAGAGGTGCACCCTCGGGGCCTTCTGTTGGGGGCCTCCTCCACACATTTGCACAGCACGACGAGCTACTATTTTCCTCTCTCTCCCCCGATGGCGTCCAGAAGATGTGCGGCCCACCTCCGCTTTTTTTGACACCAGGTTCCGGGGAATTGGGTTTTCGCGTGGGTTTTTGTTTCAAAAGGTTGCTCCCGCTGAAGCGCTGGCCTCATTTTCGGGCTTCCGCTCGTTCCGGGTCTTGCTACCGCTGCAACGTTGGCCTCATTTCCGCGCTTCCGCTCGTTCCGAACCGTGTTCCCGCTGCAGCGTTGGCGTCATTATTTCCAGTGCCATGCCACGACATGCAATGCAATGGTACGTGGTGTCCCGTTGTGAGATGTATGCCTCCAGCTGCAATGCTAGGATATGCAGTGCTCGACTGCGCAGTGCCAGGCCATGCTATGCCATGCTACGCTTGGAGTTTCGATCCAATGCTATGCCATGTTACGTTTTGTGCCGCTGTGCGATGCCATTATGTGCGTTGCTGCGCTTCGTGATGCAATTCTTCACTACGCAAGGCAATGCCATGCTGAGGTGTACTACGCTCTGCTGTGTTCTCCTACGCCATGCGATGCTGAGCTATACGATGCATCTCGCACCCTCTCCTGATCCTTGCCCTGCTCGACATCCAACTGTGCGAATAAAGAGGAGATCTACGGCATGGTAAAGGATGGGCGAGCGGGGTAGGACGTCCTATATGACGCGAGCGCACCTAGCATGTCCTCCGCTCCCTCTCTCTTCTCCTCCTCACTCCTTGTCCACGATATCCTCCTCCTCCTCCTCCTCCTCCTCCTTCCCTCCTTCCTTCTCTCTCCTCCTCCTCCTCGTCATCCTACCCCTTCCTCCTCCTCCGCCTCCTCCTCATCCTCCTACTCTTCTTCCGTTTTCCCCTCCTTCCTCCTCCTCCTCTTCCTCCTCCTGTGACTCCTCCTATTCCCTCTCTTCCTTCTTCCTCCTCCTGCTCCTCCCTCCGCCCTCCCTCCCCCCATTTTTTGTGGACCGGCGCGGGTTCCATGCGGACTCCACGCGGACCTGGTGCGGACTCGACGCGGCTTCGGCGCGGGCTTGACGCGGGCTCGACGCGGCTCCGGCGCGGATCCGACGCGGCTTCGACGCGGACGGGGAAGCGACGGGACAGACACTTTCCCCCGACGATGCAGCATCAGATATCGGGGCGGCGGCTCGCGGCCGCTCGCGCGGTCACCTCGCCGGGTCGAGACGGCGTTGCTGTCGTTGGGTTTGCCGTCGTTTTTTTGTTTTTGTTTTTTGATGTTTATGTTTTTTGTTTTTTGTTTATATGTATATATAATTAATTAATTTGAAAATATATGTCCCTCTCTCTCTCTTTCTCTCTTTCTCTCCCTCGAAGGAGACAGCGACGCAGAAGCAATGGGGGCATGAGCAGCACTTCTCGGAGTTCCGCGCGGATCTCTCGCATCTGCGCGGAGCCCCCCCCATTGGATGCGCTTTTGGAGGCGCTCCGTGCGCCAGCGGGTGCTCCACGTTGCGAGCAGAAGCGAGGATCGCCAGATGTCGTGGTGCCTGCACGCCGCGGGTGGCAATGGTCAGCCACGCGCAGAGGGGGGTGGGGGAAGGGGGGAGGGCTTCTTAGAAGCACCCCTGCTTCTGGGAAGGCGCGGGCCTTCTCTGTAGATGTAAGGCTGGCGCCTTCTGAGAAGCAGCCTCCTTCTAAGAAGCCCTCCCCCCTCCCTACACCCCCTTGTGCGCGCCGCCAAAACGGGGGGTGGCCTAAAAGGGGGGGTGAAGGAAAGAGCCCCCAAAAGGGCCAGCAGGGGCCCTGCAGGACCACTTTGGCACCTTGGGACCTCTTTGGGACCCTTAAAAAATCTGGGGCGGACAGAACCCCCAACAGTGACACGTCGATTAGTGAGACTTGTCCGTTTTCGGTTCTCGAGAGGGCGCCGTGGCCGTCATTTTCCAGTCTTGCGCCCGCCAGATTTGGGCCTCAGGTCGTTTTCACTAAACCACGTTTTACTAAAGGGGCGTCTGTCCAAAGACCCGAAGAAGGGGCCCTTTAGGACCCCTTCTGACGCCAGAAGGGGCCCGGAAAGGGGCCGTGGTGGGCCCCTTTGGGACCCTTTTTTCCTCCACCTTCCATCTAGTCATGGGAAACGTGAGTTTCGTGTACGCTGGAACTCGTGTGTGCCGACTCTTTTTGACGAGCGCGTCCTGCGTTTTGACGGTCCAGTTTTCGCTGGATGTTTGCAGCGGGGATTCGCGTCAAGTTTCAGATTGCGTCTCGTCATTTTCAGGATGGCCCCGTCAGGGCAAACCGAGTCTCCTGACCCCGAGTTTTACGTTTCTCCAGTTTAGGTCACCCCCAATGTTACTTCGGATGCAACTCCTGGTATGTCAAATTCTGATTTTGCCCTGGTCCGACATCCGGCTTAATCCGGCTTGATCCTGCTTAATCCCGCTCAATCCGGCTTAATCCCGCTGTATCCAAGGCCGACTTTGGCGTAACAGCCCCCCAAGTGGGCCTACTCCTCCTTAGCTCTTCCGACGAAGACCTCCCGGTAGCTGCCTCCTGATGTCGCCACCCGCCCGAGAAGCGGCCGCTTGCCAGGCGCCCGTCCTGCTGGCCGCAGCGCTGGCCGATCTGCGCCGCGCCGTGCGTTTTGGGGCACGGCTGTCGGGACCCCACCCGGTGCCTTGGCATCTGGGGCCCCAGGTGCGCCGTCGCCGGTGCATCGGCGACGCGGTTCGATCTGGAGCCCATGCTCCTCCCAGGCCCCCTCGAGTGGTGAGAGCATCACCACGGCGGGAGGGGTGTCGGTCTTTTCGGCCTCGGGAGGCCCTCGCCACGCCTCGGGGCCGTCAAACGACGACTTCGGATGAAAAGCCGGGTTCCGAGGAAGGGGTCCAGACTCAGCGGCACCGTAACGGGCATTCATTAACGGGTATTTTGAAGGTGGGCCTTCTTCTGGTATTGCAGCGGTGCCCACATCGGGGAGGCTTGGGTTCGCCAGGTCGTTGGCCAAAGATGGGCTAAAGTTCCCGTTGGTAGAATCCCCGTTTCGAAGGCGCGCGGACAGACCTCCGGGGGTCGACGCTGTGGCAAAAACCGCGACGCCAGGGGTGCGGGCTCCCTCCCCAGGCCCCAGCGCCATGAGTTCGGGCGCCGTGATCTTGTGGATCGGCGCCGAGTCCCAGAGGGGTCTCGGCCCGTTCCCCAGGGCCGGCTTGTCGCCCCGAGCAGGTTTCAGGCGGCCCTGGGGGCCCCCGGCCCCGCGAGGGCCCCGCCCGAGAGTCTCGGGCGGATGGTAATACAGGCCTCGGAACAAATTAGCGAACACATGCCACATTCATCCGTCAACGCCTCCCCTCCCCCCGATGTTCAAAGTTGGCGGTGGGTCTGATGAGATGCACTTCGACCGCAGTCTCCCCCTGCGCGTGCCAACCTTGAGTTTGGGGGGGAGGGGGAGTGTGCAGTCATTGTTTCCCTCTACCGTAGGGGGTGGCCCAGAGAGGGGGGTGAAGAAATATGGGCCCTGAAGGGGCCCTTCAGGGACCCCGTTTGGGGCCCCTGCTGGCTCTCAAAGGGGCGGGCCCCGAGGTTCCCCTTTTGGGGGCCCTCTCTTCACCTCACACGTCATCAGGAAAGGAGGAAGCAAACTCAGGCACAAAGAATCGTCGATTCCTTGGAACAGATGGGAAGAAAGATGGGAAGTGGGGTGGGGAAGACGAACCTCAGACAAGTGTGGAAACAATCAGGACTCCTGGGATTTGTGTGTGTATTTTTTGTGGGTCGCTGGGCCCCGTCATTCAGGTCACCCCCCCATTACCACCCCGCCCGACCAGGGTCAGAAACTTGCCGACGAACCTCCCGAAGTGATGCTTGCGCGCCTCGAAGGGTCTCTTGGTCCCGCTGTCTCGCCGTCGAAGGGGCCCCATCGAAAGGGAGGCAACACCACATCGCAAGGCACAAGCGCCAAAAGCATGAAACGCCATTCACATAAAAACGCAATAAACATCTACACATCGCAAACATCAAGCACTATAACAACAACAACAACAACAACAACAACAACAACAGCAACAACAACAACGGCAACAACAAAAGTGTTTTTGTTTTCGAAGTGCACAGATGGCCATTAACAACATGAACATTTTGCGCTCCGCGCGGAGCGCCACAAGTTCATATTCATGGCGATGTTGCTCCTTCTGGAGGGTCTCAAGAGTCAGAAACTGAACCTGCTGCCGTGATTATTTGACACCTCAAGGGGGTTCTTGGTCCCCATGTCGCCGTCGCAGGTGCGAGCCATGCGCCGCGAGATATGACCCAGCCTCATCTCAAGGGAGGAAAAACCACGCCCCGACCTCCATCATTGAGGTTTTTACTGAGCGGCCCTGGGCGTTTTCCAAACAGCCCTGCCCTGTTTGATTCTTCCCTTGGGTGCGTTTGTTGAACGGCTTCTCTCGTCGGGGTGCTCACAGCCGAGCATCTGGGCAAGCGTTTCTGAAGCAGCTTGCCAGGAAGTTGGCGCAGTGTACACCTATAGAGCGCGTTCCCAGCGTTGACGCGAACGTGTGGCCCAGGCTGGCCTGCAGAAGCTTGTGGAACGCTTCCCCAGAGGTCTGACGCGATCGTGTTCTTGATCCTCTTCTCGGTCGTGTTACATGAGAGTGGCCCTCCTGCCAATGACCAACTGCATCGGCCCCTGCCCTCGGGAAGCTCTGCGGGCAATAGTTATATCCACATCCAGTGCGTCTTGGATTCTTGGGCTCTCTTCCCCAGAAACCGTAGACGCACTGGATATGGATAACAATCTGGCCCCAAGAGGCTTGATTGTATCCATATCCAGTGCGCCTCGGCGTTGCGGCACCTCTTCCCGAAAAGTCCACGACGCTCTGGATATGGATATAAGTACTGCCCGCAAGGCTCCTCCGCCGCGCCCCGCGCGCAGCGCCCGCCCGAGGCTGGCGGACCTCTCCCCCGCGGCGGCGCAGGCCACGGCGCACGCCGCGGCGCCCGCGCCGCGGGGCCGCGCCCTGGCGACCGAGCGCCAGTCGTCCGCGAGGGCCATCGCTGGCGCAGTGGCGGACGGGCGCGAGGCGTGCTTCCTTCTCCACCTCCTCCTCCTCCTCCTCCTCCTCCTCCTCCTCCTCCTCCTCCTCCTCCTCCTCCTCCTCTGGTCCCCCGGTCGTCAGAGGAAAACCGAGCGATCCGACGCTGCAGTAACATTGGAGCGGCGGGATCTTGGCAGTTGTGGGCCTCCGGGGGCCCTCGCCGGGCCTCGGGAGCGCTCCAAAACGACTCGGGACGGAAAGCTGGCCCCAGGGAAGCTGTCCGGTCCTCTGGGTCCCAGGCGTCGAAAAAATTGGAGCAGCCGGATGTTTGGGAACTTTGCTCTTCGCCCGTTTTCCCTCTCTTGGGGCTTCCTGGGAGACCCTCGTCGCCACCGTTGTCTGGATTCGCCTCGGAGTTCGTGTCAAAGCGCACCCTGGGAGAGGTCCGGGGAGCAGCGGTGTCGGTACCTTTTCGCTTCCCCAGGCGTGGTCGCCAGTCGGTAGAGCGTTTTTGTTGGCCATGCAGGAATCTTGAAAAATAGGAAAAGATCGTTTCGGGACGATTCATTAAGATTATTTTTGCCCAGTTTGGGGTATGTTTTTATTATTTGTGTTCGCCCAACAACCCCTTGTAAGAGGACATGTCCGGCCTAAGGCCATGCCGCGCGGTATGCCCCCCCCCCGCCTCCGCCTCCCCCCCCCCCCAGAATGCAACGCTCCCACCCTCTCCCCCCCAGTGCGACCCTGGCACTGCCGCAGCGCGTCCGGCACGACAGCGGAGGGGAGGGGCGTTACGTTCTGCCCCGCCCCTGCCCCCCCTCTCCTCCCCCCATGTAACGCCTGTTACCGCCGAGAACAGCATGCTTTCGAGGCGTGGCCGCCAGTCTGAACCCATCGGTCCTTGAGAGTAGATATTTCTGGATTCCCATATTCCAATCTGCTTCAAGCGCCTTCCCACTGCAATGATTGAGTGGCTTCACATGTTCCGTCCCCCTTAAGGAGCGGACGGAATTCAACCTACAGTCGGGGCGCTGAAGAAGGAACCCTTTTCGTTGGGGAGGGCTCGGTGTTCCTTGAATGTTTCAGAGTTTGCCTCGGGCTTTCCTGAGGTTCTCCACGGGAAATCGAGGTTGAACCTATGGGAAAAGGGGCCTCGTTTCTTACTTGGGGTTCCTTAGGTCAACGCCCCGACTGTACTTTCAACACCTTCCTGCTTCATGTTTCTACCTACTCCTTCCGACCGATGGGTGCGGAGGGGTGCGGAATGAACGGGCACGAAGGCCGACCGCAGCAGCTCCTGTTCTCAGGAGGAGAAAAAACACACAGACACAATTCATCGGCGATCCCCAGAAAATATTAGAAAATATGGGAAGTGGGGGGAAGACAGCAACCCAGAAAATATAGGAAAATATGGGGGATACTTTTATTTGTGTGTATTTATTTGTGTGTCCCAGTTCCCCGTCAATGTTCCTGCTGAACAGGACCTGCTGCCTGCGCCGCCGCGGCCGTTGTTCAGTTGAGTCCGGAGGCTGCCTTCCCAGCGGCGGCCGCTGTCGGTTTTGGAAAACATGTGGTGTTGGGCACTTTGTGGACCCCGGAAACGGCAGGGCCGTTGTTCCACCGTTTCAACAAAAATGTCCCTTGAAAATGGAAACGGCAAAAAAACGGCGACCGGAAACGGCAAAACAAATTGCTCCAGGATTGGAACCGGAGCAGGAAACGGTCAAAAAACGGCGACGGAACCGGAAAAAAAAACGGCGTCGGAACCGGCAAAAAATCGGCAAAACGGAACCGGTAACAAACGGCTTTGTCGTTTCCAGGGCCCACTGAGGTTTGGAGGCTGCCTTCCCAACGGCGGCCGCTGCCGGTTTTGGAAAACATGTGGTGTTGGGCATCGTGGCCAATTCTTCCGTGACCGCCCGGGTGTCCAGTGGCAGGGGCAATGCCAGGCTCCAGGTGCGAGGTTGTTCGGGCGTTCTCGTGGGTTCTCGGCGGCTTTCCCAGCCTCGGGCCGCGGGGCGCGTTGCAGCAGCCGCGCTTCGCCGAGGGCGTTCGAAGGGCGCCCAGATCGTCCCGAGCGGCCGCCGGAGAGCCGAGCTTCAGCGAGCGAGGAACGGTATAAGATAAACTTTTTCGCTGTCGGGGGCGCCTGTCCCTGGGCGGCTGAAAAGTTTATACCCCTACGGTGCCACCGAATCGGGGGAGAAAAAGATACGGATACGTGTTGTCCCCCTTCGTTTTCGGCCTTTCCTGGCCCTCCTGGGGAATCCTCGTTGTCACCGCTGGATTCGCCTCGAAATTCTGGTCAGAACGCGCCCCAAGGGAGGTCCGGGGACAACACGTATCCGTATCTTTCCGCCCCCCAACCGAAAGGGTATAAACTTTCCAGCCGCCCTGGGACAGGCGGCCCCGACGGCGAAAAAGTTTGTTTTACGCCGCTCTTCGCCCGTTAAGAGTTCTGACCCGAAAGCCAGAGGGCAGCGTCATTGGGGGGATGGGGTTCAGGGGAGGGACGCATCAACTCCCAAATCGCCCGTTGATCGCATCGCCAATGAGGGCCAGGCAGCCCACCCCGCCCAGGAACGCGTGAATCTGCTGTCGGGAGCCCATCACCGATCTATCGGCGATGTATCCCAGGTCGCCGCTTCCCCCCGCTCTATTTATCTATCGATCTGTCTGTCTCTTTGTCGATATATATATATATATATATATATATATATATATATTATATATATATACGTATACATATATCTCTTTGCCGATATATACATATATGTGGATATATGTGTGTACATATATATATACACATCTATATATATGTATATATATGTGTATATAGATATAGATAGACACACACACACATATATATATATATATACATTTATCTATATGTATATATATATATGTATATATATATATATATATATATATGTCCCTGGGGGGGCAGGCCCAGGGACCACAAACAGCTGCCCCGGCCCCCCATGGGAGGACGGGGCGGCCGGGGAGATCCAAAATAGTCCAGGAGGGCCTCTAGAGGCTCCCTTGACGGCCCAAGCTGGCCCCGAATCGCCGAAAGACCGCTCCAGGACGCCCAAGATAGGCCCAAGCCGGCCCGAAAGGTCCCCCAAGGCACTCCACGACGCTTCAAGACGCCTCTCCAGAGCGCTTCAAAGAGCCCGAAATCGTTAATTGTCCGAAGGTTTTGGAGAGATTTGGGCCTTCCAGCCTTTTCGGCTGTCCGACGTTCCAAGATGGCCCAATAGGCCCCCAAGAGCGCCCCAAGACTGCCCAAGAGGGCCCCCAGACGGCCCCAGAGGCGCCCAAGAGAGCCCCAAGACGGCCCCAAGATGCGCCCAAGAGGGGGACCACGACTCCAAAATTCCACCCTCCCGCTTCAAGAGTGCCCCAGGAGGCCCCAAGGCGCCCCCAAGAGGCCCCAGGAGGCCCCCGAGAGGCACCCAGGAGACCCAAACAAGGCCTCCAGAGGCCACAAAAAAGCCCCGAGGAGGTCCCACAAAGGTCTTAAATCGGCGACCGAGAAGCTGCGAAATTGCTTGCACGACGTCTTCGACAGGCCAATCACGAGATCCAAACCAACACCCATGAGGCCTCTGACCCACCACCTAGGGCACCCGCCGCCCGCCCGCCGTCCGCGTAGCGCGCACCACTCTGTACTCGACTCAGCAGCTTCAGTCTCGAAGACAACACCCTGTAGTCAACAGCCCCCGTCTTCAAGGCAACACCCTGTATTCAAGAAGCTCCCGCTGCAAGAGAGCACCCTTAAGGAATTCATTCAAATCCCGACCCGTCCGCCCGCCCGCCCGCCACCCGCCCGCCCACCGCCCGCCTGGCCGCTCGCCCGCCTTCCGCGTAGCACGCGCCACCCTGCACTCAACAGCCTCCGCCTCCAAGGCAACACCTTGCATTCAACAGCCCCCAGGGCTCCCGGGACAGCCCGGGCCCGCTCCCAAACACGCCACGACACGCCAAGAGGGCCTTAAATATTGCCAAGACAGCCCCAAGAGGTCTCGGACACGCCGAAGATGGCCTCAGGACGGCCGACGACGCCGCCAAAACGCTCCAAGAGCGCTTCCAGAGGCCCCTCCAAGGGGCCCAGCATGTTTGCGCTCTCGCATGTTCCGCCTCCCCACGGTCCCGGACGGCGTTAGAGGCCCTTCAGATCGCTCCAAGACGGCCGAAGAGGCTCCCAAGAAAGACCAGAGACGGCCCAGGAGGCTCACCTGATAGTTCAAGAGGGCCTCGAGGGCGCCCCAAGAGAGCCCCAAGAGCGACCCAAGAGGGCCCGAAGAGCGCGACCCAAGAGGGCCCGAAGAGCGCAGCATTTCAAGGTCTCCGGCCTGAGAGGTTCCTAGGACGCCCCCGGAGGCCATCAAGAGCCTCCCAAGAAGCCCCGTGAGACTCCCGAGAGGCCCCCTTGAAGCCCCAATAAGCCCTCAAGGGGCCCCCAGGGAAGCCCCATGCAAGCCCCCAAGAGACTTCGGTAAATCGTATTTCCCAGAGCTTTCTGGGAACATGATTCCTTGGGTTTCCGCCCACCGCCCCAACCATGTTTCCAACAGGCTTGCCGACAAGGCCAAAAAAGGCCCCTCGGTAAGCCCCCAGAAGCCCCCCTCTAAAGAGAGCCGAACAAATCATGTTCCCGGAAAGCTTCCCGGGAGCATGATTCTCGGGTTGCCGCCCTCTCCCCAAACCATGTTGCCTAAACGCCTGCCAGGCAAAAAAAAAACGAGAGTCCCAAGCAGCGCTACCTGCCGCCACGCTCGGAAATGCGTCATGCCCCGAAGCCTCCAGAGGCGCCCAACGACACCCCAACAAATCATGTCCCCAGGAAGTCTTACGGCCAGTGCGGCCGACGTTGAAGGAGGACGGTCCAGGACACCCAGAAATCTTCCAAACAGGCTTCCAAGAGGGCCGAGACAGCCCAGGACCGCCCCCAGACGGCCCAAGAAAGCCCCAACACAGACGAACAAGGACATATCGTTCGAACACGCCCAAGATGGCCTCCGGACGGCCCACAAGGCTTCCAACACGGCCCAAAGGGACGCCGAAATCATTGATTGTCCTTGGGTTTTTGATGGATTTCAGACACCCAATGTCGCCCCAACAGGCCCCCACGAGGGCGCCGAGACGGCCCAGGGACGCCCTGCCGCGAGCACGAGGCGGGGCCCGGGACGGGGCCCTCGCACCGGGGGGCCCAGGGTCCCTGCCGTGGCGCTGGGGGCCTTGTAAAGTCGCCCGAAGACGACCCTGGATTGCCAGAAATTGCATTTCCAGACAACGAAAACGACCAATGACCGCCCGAGATCACCCCAGAATTGGTCCCTGACTGTCCAAGAGGCCTCCAAGACGCCCCAAGAGGTCTCCAAGATGGCTCCCAAGGAGCCCCAGGAGGCACAACTAATTCATTTGCCTTTGGTTTTTGATAGATTTTCGAGTTCTCGCCCTTTGAGTTTCCTGACGCTCCACGACGGCCCAAGATGCTTCAATTTCCGCTCCAAGGCATCCCCAGAGACCTCGAACACGGTCACAAGACAGCCCACGGGGGTCCCAAGATGGCGCCAGAGATGCCCAAGGCGGCCCGAGAGGGCCCCAAGACGGCCCCAAGATGGAGCCAAGAGGGTTGACACGAACCGAAAACCCGAGTCTTCCTCCCCGAAAGGCTCTCAGGAGGCCCAGAGAAGCCCCTAACAGGCTCCAAGAGGCCCCAAGAAGTTAGCCAGGGGGCCGAAGAGTATCCAAGAGGCCTCCCACGAAGGCCCCAAGAGGCAAGAATCCATGTCTTGCCATAGGTTTTTGATTGATGTTAGAGTTTTCAGCCTTCTGGCTGGCGTCCTGACGCTCCAAGACGGCCCAAATGGCCTCCAAGACCAATCAAAGATAGCCCAAGATGCCTCCAACAGGGCCGAAGACAGCCCGAGAGGGCACCAATACGGCCCCAAGGGGGGGCCAAGAGGGGTAAGACGAACCGAAATCCGAGCCTTCCACCCCGAGAAGCTCTCAGGGAGCCCCAGAGGCCCCCAAATGGGACCCAAGAGGCCCTCAAGAAGCTCCCCAGAAGGCCGACGAGGTTCCAAGAAGCATTGTTTTCCCATCGGCTTTTGATGGATTTTAGAGTTCCCAGCCTTTGGCATCCCGACGCTTCAAGACGGCCCAAGTGCCCCCAAGACCGCTCTCAGATAGCCGAAGAGGCCTCCAAGAGTGCCCCAAGACGGCCCACGAGGGCCCCAAGACGGTGCCCGAGGCGGCCAAGACGGCCTGAGAGGGCCCCAAGAGGGCCCCAAGAGAGCCCCAAGAAGGGGAACGCGAACTCAACAGCAGAGCTTTCCGCCCTAAGAGGCCCACGGGAGGCCCCAAGAGTCCCCAAGTGGTCCGACGAGGCCCCCCAAGCCCCCCACCAGGCCCCAAAAGGCTCACAGGAGACGTACACGGGGCCCCAAGATAGCCGAGCAGTGCTCTCGATGCGTCAAAATTGCTTCAAGGAGGCCCCAGGAGGTTTCCAGATTGCCCCAATGTGGCCTCAAGCCGGGCCTCCACGCAGACAAGACGGCCAATTGACTGCTTCAGACTGCAGAACATCACTTTCCGATTGCCCGGAGAACCTTGACGGTGCCCCCAAGGGACCCCAGAAGCCCCAAGATGCCCCCCCGAGAAGCACCCAAGAGGTGCCTCCAACCGCCAAGTGAGGAAGCACGGAGAAACCCCCAGAAGCCTTTCAGATGCCCCGACGAAGACCCAAGAGGTTCCCAGGCCCTCAGAAGGCACGACTATGTCACGCGCCTGTTCTTGATAGCGCTGCCCAAGATCTTCTAGCGCGCCCCCAGCCTGGGCTAGAACCGGAGCGCCCGCGAAGCGCGCGCGATGGTTCTAGTCTAGTCGATATATATATATATATATATATATATATATATACACATATTTATAGATATATATCAGTCGCCGATCCCAGGTCCATGCTTCCTCCTCCCCCTGAGCCCGCCCCACCACCTGGCTCAGAGAGGAGGGCGAAGTGAGACAACGGGTTGGTTGGCCTTCGGGGGAGGGCCTCGACGCCACGCCTCGACGCAGCTCGGAAATGATGGTGCGTTTGGACCACGGGAGGGGTCCAGGGATCGATTTTCCTGTCTTTCCAGATGAGGTCCGAGCAGATTGGGTCGGATGATCGCGACGCATCGCTGGATGATCGGCGATACGTCCCGATGTGGAACCAGTTTTTCGCCACGCCGGCATCACCGATGCATCGCCGACGGCGACGATGCATCGGGGATGCGGCTCGGTCCTTCGACCCCATCTGCTCGGACCCCAATGTGGGCGGAGGAAAAAGACGGGGCCGTCTGCGCCGACATTCGCGCGCAACTTTTCCTTCGTAAGGTTGCGCCTAAGCGCCCTCGTTTCCACGTGTTGAGCCACGCCGGCGGTCCGCATAAGCCGCGGCGTAAGGTCACTATGCCATCGTGCGTGAGACCCGTTTTACTTCGCCGCTCATTGGGGACGCCGCTAGACTTCGGACTGACGTTGTCCCAACTCGCCCCGAACGTCCCCTCTCGAAGGCGTGGGCGCGGGTGCACGAGCTGGAGCGGGCCGTGGACGCCGCACGGCTGCAGGGCGAGGCGGCGCTGCAGCGCTGTGCGGAGTTGGAGTCGATCTTGGAGGCAGAGACCAAGGCAGGGCTAGTTTTTATCATTGATCCGATTCGATATCGTTGTCAAAACACGAGCGGCCAGTTTTAGTATATTCTCGGCCTCTGGGGGCCCTCAACAGGCCAATGACCGTCAACAAACCGTGGGGCAGAATAACCTGCCAATTGGTCCAGGCTTCGGGGGGGGTCCGCGCGTCGAAAAAATGAACCCCCCTCAGGTCGGGTATAGCCATGACCCCAGGTAAGGGGACCCGGTTAGTGGTAGGACCCCGGGAAATTGGCCAGAACCATTAAACCAGGTCTGCCGTAGCTGGAGTTGTTTCGGGTGACGGCAGTTCCGGTCAGTGGAACGGGGCGGGGGGGCGTCCCCCAGCACACGTCACCAAACCAGGTCCCACTAAACCTGGTTCTGCCAACGCCCGATCAGGGGCCCATCGAAACAATGGATCCCCCTCAGGGCCCATGCCGATCCGATCGACCCGATTGACGGAGCGTTTTCTGCCGCTGCTTGCACGGAGGGGGGAGTTCACCCGCCCCCCTTCCAAAACCAGGGGGGGGGGTCTGGACCCCACCTTTGGCGGGAAAACTATTCGAGGGAGCCCAGAAGCCTCCCCCCTTTGGGGAAATTTTTCGATGGGTCCAGGGACCCTCTCCCCTCCTCCCAGCAACGACGACGACGTCGTCGCCGCCGCCAGCAAACCACGCGGACGACGCCGCCGCAAGCACACGATGTTGACGACGACGACGACGCAAGGCGCACGACGACGATGACGCCGACGCCGACACCGACGACGACGATGACGAAGACGACGGCGACGGCGAAGGCTGCAGGGGGGAATCCGAAGTGTTCGAGAAGGGATGGAACGCAGGAGGACGTACCTCCCCCACTGATTTCGAGATCATGCCCCCGTCATCATCATCATCATAATTGTCGCATAGATGCTATCCTGGAAACGATGATATGGCGTGTGGGAATGAGGGGAGGGGATGGGGATGAGGAGCGGCAACAGCAGGACGGAGGATGAGGGAGAGAAGGATAAGGAAGCATATAAGATCATGATGCTGCTGATAATGATGATGATGCTGATGATGATGATGATGATGACGATGCTGATGATGATGATGATGATGATGCTGATGATGATGATGATGAAGATGATGATGAAGATGATGATGATGATGATGATGATGATGATGATGATGATGCTGATGATGATGATGATGATGCTGATGATGCTGATGATGATGATGATGATGATGATGATGATGATGCCGATGCCGATGCTGAGGCGGAGGCGGAGGCGGAGGCTGAGGCTGGTGATGGTGATGGTGATGGTGATGGTGAAGGTGAAGGTGATGCTGATGGCGAAGGTGCTGGTGATGGTGATGCTGATGGCGAAGATGATGAGGATGAGGATGAGGATGAGGATGGGGATTCTAATAATGACGATTATGCTGATGCTGATGCGTAGGAGTGACCCTTCGCTGGAGTGACTTTTTTGGTGCGGGCCCGTTGTGGCCCCCCCCGATCGCCGAGCGCGACTGCGACGGCAGCGTCTTGCGCGCCTGTGCGTTTGGTGCCCCCGCGGCGCCCTGAAGGCCGCGCAGCGGAGGCCCCTCTCTTGCCCAGGGTTCCTCCTGCGTGCAGCCGAGAGGGGGCGGGACTTCCGGGTCCGCCGCGTAATGAGAATATATTCTGGGGGCGGCCAAAAGAGGGTGACGACCTGGGGGTTGGGGTGGATATCATGGCGAGGGCCCTGACATTTCCTCAGATTTCGTGGCGGCGCTTCCTCTTATGTGTCTGCGCGCCCCCCCCGCCACCCCCCCCAGGGCCGCCACATGCCGCCGGCCACGATTTGCGCCCCCCCCCCCCCCCCTCTCGGACGCCCGCCCCCCCCCCTCCGCCTCCTCCCTCCGCCTCCGCCTCCGCCTCCGCCTCCGCCTCCTCCTCTCCTCCTCCTCCTCCCCTCCCTCCCTCCCCTCCGCCTCCGCCTCCGCTCGCCTCCGCCTCCTCCTCCTCCTCCTTCTCCTCCTCCTCCTCCTCCTCCTCCTCCTCCTCCTCCTCCCCCCTGGGCCGCCCCCGAGTATCTGGACCTCGCATCTTCGCACCTCCAGGGGGCGGAGCCCACGGCGGCCCGCCCCGAGTTTTTGTTGCCTCCGTGCCCTGGGGCATCCGGCAGGCGCCCCGCCGCCACGGCTGGCTCCGCCCTGCCATCTGCACGAACGAGATGGGCACGGAAAGAATGGGTACA